TTTTTTCGCAGTGTGTCAGGTTTTAAAGGGTTATCGTAAGGGTTCATTTGTGCCTGATGATCGTGCCCCTGTTACTCATTCCCTTTTACGACGGCTTTGTGTGGTTACCTCGGAAGTATGTTTTTCAGGTTACGAGTCAGCGCTTTTTTCTTTGGTGTTTTCCTTTTTATTTTTTGGTGCGCTGCGCATTTCTGAGCTGATTCCAGCCACGAAACGGGGAACTACTGGCCTTTTGTTGGGTGAAGTATGCATTGGTGCTGATTCGGTTCGGTTGTTTCTTAGAAGGAGCAAAATAGATCAACTGGGTAGGGGAAGGTGGGTTGACATACAAGCATTTGCTGAAAGTTCTGTTTGTCCAGTTTTTCTGTCCAAAACATTTTTTAATTTGCAAGGGGAACGTATGGGCCATTTTTTCTTACATGTAGACGGATCACCCTTGTCCAAATTTAAATTTGGGGTCGTTTTGAAACGCTGTTTGATCAAGCTGAATTTGGGTCAGGTGAGAATAACATCCCACTCTTTCCGGATCGGGGCCGCAACGGCTGCATCAATGGCAGGACATTCCCCTTCTTATATCCGCTCCTTGGGGAGGTGGTCTTCTAGTTGTTATGAGACCTATGTTAGACCTCATTTATGCGTGTGACTTTAATTCTTTCATTTTCCTCAGGTGCACAGACTGTGGTTTGGATTGTCGGCCACTCATTCGTGTTTTGAGCGAATAGGAGAGCTCTTCGCCGGGTTTACACAGAGAATCTCGGTTTCAATACAGATTAGTACTTGGTGCTCTGGCATGGAATAAGGGGTATTCTTTGGGAAGAATTGTTACCTTGTTTTTGGGAACTGTGCCTACCCCCTCGATTTTAATTGTGCACTTGGGTGGGAACGATTTGGGTCGTTGCAAGACTTAGATCTTAGAATAGTTTTTAATATACAATAGGATTTGCATGTCATTAAGACTGGTTTCCCGGATATCCGAATCGTTTTTTCAGAAATTGTCCCTTGTTTTCTTTGGATGACTACACCATCGCTGTTTCATTTAGGTAAAATTAGGAAAATAGTCAATCACCAGCTTTCTACATTTTGTAGGCAGGTTCAGTGCGTTTCTATTCGTCATGTGGACCTGGAGGGTGGTTTGCCTGGCATTTACAGGCATGATATGGTTCATTTGACGGATGTGGGACTTGACATTTTTAATTTGGGTTTGCAGTCTTCAATTGAATTGGCCATGGTGGGGGTGGGTGCCAGCCTCGTTGTTTAATGTGGCTGGCTGGTGGAGGTTTTAATTTATATTGGTTGGCTCGAGTCGTGGTGACTGAGCCTGTTTAAGTGTTTTAAGGTATGGGTTAAGTTATGTTTAAGTGTGATGTAAATAAAGGCTGTGGACAATTTAATTCCAATTATAGTGCAGTGTGTTTATTAATATGAATTATTGATTATTTACTGATGTATTTAAGTGTGTTAATTGTGCTGTCTATGGTCCCATGACGCATTGCAAGAGTCTCACAGCCCACAGGCTGTCTCCCAGAGACAGATACATAATGGGATTTGTAGTTCCACCACAGCTGGAGGGCCAAAGTTTGCCTGCGATGTGCTATGGCAAGACCTGACACAGTTCCAGGTCCTTGCTTTTTATGCAGATTTGGGCTTTGCAGAACTCACTACATAGCTATACACAGCCCACGGGTTGAATGAGAGAAAATTGGTTGATACATCGATCCATGCTAAATAACATGGATGGAGGAATCTGAGGCCATCCATGGCTCGAATGTTGGACAATTCAGCAGGAATCAACTAAAATGTGAGCCTTATATGGCCAGCTCTAGTGGCGGTATGCTCGCAGCTACCTGGCAACAACTTTATTTTATAGAAACGCAAATCACAGTGCAAACCTGACTGCTATACATACAGTACATTATATTGGCCTGTTGGCTGAAAAAGCTTAGGGGCCCAATCACACACTGTGTTACCACAACACACGTTACGTGCGTTAGTGTGTTGCACTACCCATCATTTTGAATGGGGTAACAGCGCACTAAAGGTAACGCAGCTTCAATGCAGATGTTGCAAGGCACCACAATGCATTGCTGCACTACCAAGAGCTGCGTCAGAACTAGGGTTGCCACCTTTTCTTCAAGCGAAACCCGAACACTCAAGCAATGAGCAGACATTTTTGGGGGAGAATGAGTTGTGACTTATTCATATGTAAATATCACAGTTGAGACTATTTTCAGTGGGGGGGGGGGTGTGGCAACCCTAGTCAGAACAAATGTTGCATGTACTTTTTTTGGCTCATTTAGGTGTCAGCCCATTCAAAATAAGTGTGCTGCCGGAAACACATGTTAACACAATGCACAAGCAATTTGTGTGAATGGCCCTTCATGCAGCCCCCTCCGAACAAAGACTGAGCGTTGTGCACATGAAGGGCATTGTTTCAGCTGTTCCAGACCGCTCCTTTCACATCAGCCATTTTAGTTTTTGCAGCATAAACCCTATACACTCCCTGTAACGTTTTATATTTAACGTACGTATAGTCCATAACCATATTTTATTAACTATATAGTCTGGAGTGGTGCAGACAATGAGAAACTGAGTAGATAACATTCTGTGATTATGTTACAAATACGCATTACAAAAGGCTCGCCCTCCATTTTGTGAAGACTCCAAACTACAGCAATCCTGACTCATCGCCTTTGTGAACGACCCTTAGCCAATCGGGTCGAGCCATCTTCCAGTCCACACCCCCTCCAGACACCATTTTGGGGATTTAGTAGCAGGAGGGGAGTGGAGTGGAGCTCCGCCTGTTCTTGTCTCTCTATTTTCTCCATCGTCCTTGCAGCACCTAACACGTAGCTGAGCCGTCACGTGACCAGAGACCTCCCCTTCCCGCTGGCCGCGCCCCTCCGGATACATTTTGTTCAGCTGCAGAATTGGAGCTGCGTCATTCGGCAATTGAACGGCACAGGACTAGGTGAGAGCTGGTAGAAGGTTTTGCTTTTTTTGGTTTTTACTTTTAATGCTGTACATAGATGTGGAGAAGCGTTATATCTGCATGCACAGTGATTAAGTATAATGATTTTAGAATATTTTATCAAGGGGAGGAGGGATTGGTTTTATCGCTAAACAATAGAGCTCGGTATGACGACTATAACACGAAGGGCATACCGTTTCTTAATTTGCCTCGTTTCGGATCGCTCGTGAAATTCGGTGAGGAAGTCGTCTCCTCCTCCCGGCGGGTAGCCGGCGCCATTTTGGAACATTGATCGCACATGCTTTGGCGGTATAGAGGGGGCGTCATGGCGGCCGTTTTGGGGGGGAGGGTCTACGTTGGTTTCTCTAATCTTATGAGCAGATTGGGTCAATTCTAAATTGATCAAATGTTTGTAATTTGTGGTTATAAGGTGTTCTGGGAAAGAGTGTATAATGTGGCTTCATAGAGACCTGTCTAATGTGGAGAAAACATTGGGGTGCACTCTTAAAGGGTTTTGGGTGCGCATATGGGATTCTGGAGTCAAGGTATATGCAATTCAAAGCACATCTCTAACTAGTCAGTGTAATCTAAATTGTAGATACAATCTCTAATGGGAGGGGGGGTTGGTAATATGGAGGTAGGTACAATCAAACATGGGCTATGGTAATGGCATCTAAAATGGAGACTGGTGATATGGAAATATAATGAAGATGTGATCCCTACATGTTTGTTTTTTTTTCCATTCTCTGTAGTTAGACACCCATTATCACCCCAATCTGGGAACACAAACATGTATGGGTAATGCTCTATTTTAATACTGGGTACTGTTCTATAATGGAATGGTGGGGTTGGCTGCTGAAGCTGGATTTGCTTATTGTATAGGTACAGTGGGCATTTTACTTGTATAAACCCACCCTGCTTGTTTATGCCTATTTGTAGATTAGTTCCCCCTGTGTAATCTGAATATTCTGTTGGGAGAGTTAACATGTATGAATAGTCCTGTTTTAAACCTCCAGACTGGGGTTACTGTAGTCTGAATTATGACCGGCTGGAATCATCTGTTGACGCAGACTTTGTATAGGCTGTATAGACATGGATCGGTACTTGGGTGTGTAGAGCCAAGCCCTGCTCATGTTTGTTTTTATATTTATCTGTATATTGCCTCCCCTTGTTCTTTCCTCCAGTGTAATATGAGAAAACAAACACCCCCTTTCTATTGGTACTGCAGATCAAGTTTACTAAAGCCTGCGGTATGAATTGGTTCAAATCCTATTCCAAAGCAGAGCTGAGTTTGTATTTTGCATATAGGCATGCTGGGTATTTACTTATAGATGTGTATAAAGAGCATCACTGTTTTGTAATGTAGATTGCAGTTAAAGTAGGCCTTCTTACTATATAGGCATGACAGGGGGTTTATCTGTAAAGTGAATATAACCTTTAGTGCAGAGGTGGGCAACTCTGGCCCTCCAGCTTTGCTTTTTAACTACAAATCCCAACATGCCTGTAATGGTTTTGCAATGCCTTATGGGACTTGTAGTTCCACAAGAGCTGGAGGGCTTGAGTTGCCCAACCCTGTGAAATTGCAGTGGATGTTTGGATGTCGCATTCACCTAATTTATAAATATGCCCATAGGTGTCTACATCTAGAAGCATCAACAAATTATAGGTGTTTTGTTCACTAATAGATTTATTTCTGATAAGTGGCATGTCCTGTGGCTAATTGGCATGTGATCATGTGACACGACATGATCTGTTAAGAAAAAAAAAAGTTTTTGCGATGTTCTAGTTATGGGCTCTATAAATGGTTCCAGTGTGAACATATGGCATTCATAGTGGCTGACTGCAAATACAATGCAGAACTACATTTTCTTCCATGAGGTGTGATTTAAAATGGCTTGTCTGGGGAAGGGTGTGGCTCTAGAGAGGAAGGAATATTGCAGGAAATTCTTTGCAGGCCCTAACTAGAGTTGCAGTTTTGGGTTGTTGATTAATGCAACATTTCAATCTTTTTTTTTTTTTTTTTTCCTTCAGAATTTGTGTTTAAGAATATTGCAAATATGAGTGGTTGCAGAGTCTTCATTGGTCGGCTGAACCCAGCTGCCAGAGAGAAAGATGTGGAGAGGTTCTTCAAGGGCTATGGAAGAATCCGAGACATTGATCTGAAGAGAGGTTTTGGGTTTGTGGTAAGTGCCCTGCTGTTTTTACTACATGTGACTAGATTTACCATTTTTTACCAGCTTGCTGCAGTTCTGTTAGGAATATTTTAATATTACTGAGGCGTTGTAAAAATTATGGGAATCGTTAATAAAATATGGATACAAGGCATCTGGTGTGGGAACTTTTGAGCAGAGCTTGGTGCTGATTATTGAAATTCTTTTCTTAGGAATTTGAAGATCCAAGAGATGCAGATGATGCAGTTTATGAACTTGATGGCAAAGAACTCTGCAATGAAAGGTATGTTTTTCTTTTGTGTGTTTTGTTATCATACAAACGCTGCAAAAGACCACTACTAATAATGATGTGACTTCAACATTGCTTTCCCATCTTATTATTTAAGGGTTACGATTGAGCATGCCCGTCTTCGTTCCAGAGGTGGTGGACGAGGAGGCCTTGGCCGTGGAAGATATTCTGATAGATTTAGTAGTCGTCGCCCACGTAATGAAAGAAGGTAAGTAATTTGAGCTAGAAAAAACATGCATACTGTTGACAGGGCTATTTGGTTGCAGGTGCGCTGAGGATTTTCTGTGTTTTTGTATTTAAGTAATTTGAGCTGCCTCCTAAGTTTAAGGTTTGATACTCACAATATGTTACTGACCAAATATGTTCTCTTGTATATTTTCTCTTGTAGTGCTCCACCAATAAGGACTGAAAATCGTCTTATCGTAGAAAACTTGTCGTCAAGAGTCAGCTGGCAGGTTTGTTGACTTATTCTAAAGGGGATTATGGGTATATGTGCTTTTCACAAGTACTCATTATTTCTTTTTTAATTTATATATGTTTTTGTTTGTTTTTATAATTGGGGTTTGATATTGGGATGGGAGTTTAATTTTTTTTCCATAATTTTAACCAAATATTAAACCCTTTATTTGCCAGCCTATCTGTGTCTCGTTGGCCTTGTGACGAGGAGCGCCTGTTGGTTATTGCTCTGTCTTGGTCACTTTTGGTTGGGCCGGGTTGAAATTGCCAGTGAGCTCCTACATTGCCTGTTGGCCTCCTAGATCCGTTGCCGGTCTAGACATACCGGAGCACTTCCTTGCAAATACCAGGTTGCAGCGACCCCCTGAGAGTTAACGAGATCTGGTCCTTAAGTTGAGAGATGCACTTCCTGTAAAGATTCCGAATGAGAGGTCGTGGTCGCAGAGAGTTGAAAGATACGCAATTAGGTGGTCGTTGGAATTCTGGTCGCAGTAAAGTCCTTGGTAACGCCACAGGAGTACAAATGATGGCCATCGTCCATAGTCTTCTAATAGGGAGGGTCGTCCGCTATAAAGGCTTCCATCAAATGGTTAGCCCACAAGTGGGTGTGAAGAGCCAGTCGGGCTTGTCTCATGACGGTTCCTCCAGTCGCTTAATGCAGTTTGCTGGTTGACTAGCCTAGGGATGTAATATTAAAAGGTAAAGTAACCTACATTTTTAATGACATCACGGGCACCAAATAAATGGCTTTTATTACACATAACTTGTATTACTACTAATTTTAGTGTTTCTATATTAGCAGTACTTACACTTTTTCCACATTGACCTTAAGTCTACCTTTTCTTATTTCAGAAGACTTCACACTTATTTTGTGCCCTACTGTAGTTTTTGCTGTTCTTAATCTTGAAGAATGGTGAAATTACAATGTCAAGTTCCGATCTAACATTTTTTGCATTTCTTTTCAGTCTTTAATTTTGTTAAAATGTCTTCTGTCTCTGTTTTAATGAACTCTGATCTTGCATTAGGATTTAAAAGACTTCATGAGACAAGCTGGAGAAGTTACTTTTGCTGATGCGCACAGACCGAAACTCAATGAAGGGTAAGTTGATTTGTGAGATGTGCATTTCAAATGTGTCAGACACGGTGGCCGGTTTGCATAGATTTTAATGATTGCCTAATTGTATAACAAACACATTAACTTCTCATCGTCCTTCACAGGGTTGTTGAGTTTGCATCTTATAGTGATCTAAAAAATGCTATCGAGAAATTGTCTGGCAAAGAAATCAATGGACGGAAAATCAGACTGATTGAAGGAAACAAAAGGCACAGGTTTGTGGAATATTCTGTTGAATGCTAGTTACTTTACATATAACAAGTTGCTTTCTTGTGCCTCATTTAGGCCTCATTTTTACCAAACACCTTTTGGTTACTGGCCATATTTTGCAAAAGTGCAAATCTTTAGAGCTGCAGCTAACTATTTTCAAAATCGATTAGTTAGCCGATTTTATTAAGTTCGATTAATCAGTTAAAAAGTTAAAATAGAGGACTACAAAACCCAGCAATAGCACATTATACTGCGTAATGCAGACTACCACCAGCTATAGAGGAATACCAGCAATAGTACATTATAACTAGCGGTATTCTGCATTGCGCTGTATAATGTACTATTGCTGGGTTTTCTAGTCCTCTATAGCTAGTGGTATTTGGCATTGCACCACTGTAATGTAGTATTGCTGGGTTTTGTAGTCCTCTATAGCTGGTGGCATTGCGCTGTATAATTGCTGGGGTTTGTAGTCCTCTATACAGTGCAATGCAGAATACCACCAGCTATATAGAAATGCAACAAATCCCAGCAATACATAGTGTGTAATGTATTGCTGGGATTTGTAGTCCTCTGTGCTGTATAGTATACCATCAGCTATAATGTACCATCAGCTATAGAGGAATACAAATCCCAGCAATGCATAATAGAGCACCATGTGGGGGAAAGTGCAGGCTTACCTGAGCAGTCTTCCAGCAACTTGCTTCTGAGATTGGGCCTGTCTTATCAGCGGCTGTCGTCTCTCCTCTGTCCCGTCCCCCCCCCCACCTGCTTCTCCCCGCGCAGATCGTGGATGAGGGAGGAGGAGCGGCGTATGAATCGTGGGGGCGGGGTCTGGCAGCGTGTGTGGAGTTGTGAACAGGGCCAAACTAATTGGAAGCCGATTTAATCAGTGCTTGAAAACGTTGACAACTTTTTCAATCGATTAGTTGTTGCAGCCCTACAAATCTTGCCCACTTCTTACTTGTGTTTTATGCTGCTATGTAAGCAGAGCCCCTGTCTTGCGTCTAGTGTTCTGAAATGGAATTGCTGGGTCTGTTACCCCCAGACTTAATCCAAAAATTGCAGGTCCTTGGATAACTTTCAACTAGTAAATTACTTGAGCTTGCAGTATGTCTTACCCAGGTGTTGTCCATATTGTGGCTTGTCCAAGACCCTGTTTTAACTACAGGGTTCTCACTAGTGTTATAAGCTAAGAGTTGCACTACAACTTCAGCCAGAAAATCTTATTTTGTGCCTCTCAAAACTAGCTTAACTTTGTTATGGATTACTTTTATTTGTTTAAAAAAAAGTGCAAAAAGATGTTCTTTATCCTGAATTTATATTTCAGCAGGTCAAGAAGTCGCTCCCGTAGCAGAAGCTCATCTAGGTCTCGCAGCCGATCTCGTTCCAGGAGCAGGAAGTCCTACAGCCGTTCTCGTAGCCGCAGCCGTACCCCTCGTAGCAACCGCAGTAAATCAAGATCAGTGAGTAGGTCTCCCATTCAAGACAAATCTCAAAAGGCAGCTGCATCTAGGAGCCCATCTAAATCCCCTGCATCTGCTGATCGGCAAAGGTCTCGGTCGAGATCCAGATCTGTTGATAGCAGAAACTGAACTTTTTATACCTTTTTCGTACCCTATTTTACTCCCCCGCCCCTGACTTTGTGTAAAGTATACTTGCTACTCTTGGTAAGTATAAAATTGATTAAAAACGAGCAGGAACATAGAATACAAACTTAGTGTGGACCACTGAGACAGATACAAACTGTCTTTATTACCTTCCACCTGCTTGTGACTTGTATAGTTTTGTGTAAAGTACTTCACTTTTTCCTCTTGGATGTGATTGATGACCTGATTGTGTATGTGAGCTTAACATGGGATATCTCATTTGCTCATTGCTGTAAATAAAGCTGTTTTGTGTGTTTGCCCTGCAAAATCTCTTGGTTTCCAATGTTTCATTGTGAAATATATACTATTCTAATAAACTTTATTAAAAAAAAATCATTGTATAACTTGTACCTTGCCAAAACTAGCTGCTACGTATTTGCTACAACTACGAGTCATGTGTTTACAGTTCAGTATAATTAGAGTGTTCCAACACTGCTGCAACCCAGGAATCCTGGATCAACTTGTTTTCTATCTGTGCCCCTCCCAAACAGCTGAAAAAAGGCCATATTGTGACATTTCCTTATGTCCTAACTTTACTGGTGGGAGTGAAGTTTAGCCACAAGCTGCCAGAAATGTGCACATTCAGTTAGATTGTCAGCATTTCAAATAACTGGTGTAAAAGCCAATTGGACTGAACTGTTGGCGTAATGTGCTTCAGGGTGGTATACATTTACCTTTGCACACTTAAACGTTACATTTTGTGTGACTAGGCATTGAGTTTGGCATGTGACCCTGATGAGCCCACATGAGTGTTGCATGGGCACAAGTATAACTTTAACTTCTCCATGGTTTGCAGACTGGGCAAAAGGAGAGGGCAACACACTGCTTTTATTAAAGAGGAAGTTCTCCCTAGAATTACTCTGTAAACAGCCATAGGATGCATGCATTTTGATGCATAATGTGATGTTTACTTCTGTTTGGTCTTTGGTTGTCCACCACATTGGAAATTGCTGGCTATTTGCCAGTGACACCATGCGTTTTGTCCCCAGACCTGCCATGCTAGCTTTGACAGCATCAGGACAAAAAGCAAGTGCTTTCAAGCAGTTTCTTTTTAGGCTTTGCAACTGTAGGATGTAGATGGCATAAAGAGGGACTGAGCCATGCCATGAGTTGCATGGTGTCTCTGGTAAATGGCTGCAGAAGTCCAATGTGGTGCTATGTGTTTACCAAGGTACATGTTTAATGTTCGAGTAGTTCTAGAGAACTTCCAGTTTGGGGGCTCAGTTTGAAGTATGACACGTAACAACATGTCATGCGACTATAAAGCAGTGTTGTGAGCCCCGAAAAGTATGTGAAGTTTGGATGGTTTAAACTAGTTCTTCCTGCCTTTTTTAATGGGGTTCTAAACCATTCGCAAAAATTATTTTTTTTTTTTTTCCGAATTAATCTTACAGGACAGCATCTGAGATAGTCTCCTCCCACCTGAAACGGGAAACACATCATACACACCAAATAAAAAGGCACTTAGGATTAGCATGCCTCCCAGTTATTTGTGTTTCCTCGGCCTAACGAGCACCGTGATGTTTGTCTTTTCTGTATAGGCCTGCGTGCAAGTTGCAGGGGCCTACTGCGCAAGGTATTTCCTTTTGGGGCCAGCAGGCCTGGGAATACTGGGGCAGTCCCTGTCCTGCCTTCGGGTAAGATTTGGCCCTGAGGTTTCCCTCTTAAGAGTGGCAACCATCTTCTCGCTGTGTCGACTCCAGCTGAGTTTTCCCCGATCAGCCTGTGGTACCTTGGTGGAAGCATCTGCCTAACTCGGAGGGACTCTGGACGGGGTAAGGGATGAGGATCTCATGACCTGCTCTTAGCTCCACTTTGGGCTCTCGTTCACCTCGGGCCGCCACAAGGAGGGTGACTTCCATAATGGGGCAGTAGGTGAGGCCTTTAATTCCCCTTCCTGCGGCAGAACCGGAACAGCTCTCCTCTAAGGAAGGCGGTGGTGCGGCCTCTGCTAGGGGCAAGGGTACTTTTATGGTAATCAATAAAAATACAAAGCGCTAAATGTACTAGATAATGTGTATAAAAGGTGAAAAATAGGTTTTCAGGCGAGTCGGTCTGGAGCCTATTAAGTGTTACATGTGACAAATAAACCAATACATACGTGCTGTAATATGGATAAAACATAAAAACCAATCAAGTTGTCAGATGAGATCATATAAAAGTCTTGTAAAACATCAAAAAGTGTTCCCTATGAAGAAAGTGCATACGGTGTTCACCTTTCACTGAAAACAAAGATGGCAGTGTATTAACAAGGTGATCCGAACTGCCCCTCGGGTGGGTGCTCACCAAATAGAAGTTGGTCAAAAGAGCTCTTAGTGAGTAATAGCGTAGTTGGACTTGAGCGCAAACGTATTCTCTACGGGTCCCGGCAGACAAACACTTGGCTTTCTCCTCTATGGCGCTGGCTGTATATCAGGGATGAGGAGATCGATCCTTTTAGATGCGGTATAGGCAAAGTGCTTTGTTGTGGTCCCACGGGGTTTTAGATACTTTTATGGTGCCTGAATTTCACATGAGTGTCGCCCCCCTCCCCCCTTCCTCTACATGGTTGCTGGACTAAACTTATGACACTGGTGTGTCTTGTTACAGGCCAGAAGCCCTTAGCTACAGGGTCTCGACCTAGTTACAAGAAGTGTGCCACTTGCAGTGCCAAATTACCTTCTACTCATAAGAAGCCACTTTGTCAGTCTTGTTTGGGGAAGCTTGTGGCAGAGGAATCTATGGGAACAATCAAGGTGCTACTCGACATCATGAGGGAGGAAATGGTGGCTTATTTCTGCTCTTTTCTTCAGG